CGTGTGCTTCAGGGAATTCTGAAATGGGGTGGTGAGCTGTGGATCAGTCTTTAGGCATTGATCAATTGGATAGTTGGGATTGATATTCCTCAGTTTCTCTGCTTGCCTTCCAGTCAAGTATTCCAGAGTTTAGGGGCATTCCTGGCCATGTCCCAGCTTCCTGGGCAAGTGCCTTGTCACCCCTTAATGGTAATTCTCTTTGGTGCATGTCTCACGTGCTAAATATTACCATGGCAGCAAAGCCAAGTAAAAAAGCCTTCCAGTACCAGACTATCAAGCAGTGTGGTTTGTGCATCCTTTAAAGTAGAATTTTTCTTTTAATTGAAATCTTACATGAGGCAGTATGTAACACTTTGGATTACACTATTGGAATATTTAGCAGAAGGAAACGATTTTTCACAAAACCTGACTCAATCTGAATAATCATAAAAACCAGCATTATAGCAGTTAATGTGTTCTATCCCTCCTCTGCCCTCTCCCAAGAGAAGTAGGAGTTGGTGTTTTAATTGAAAAAAATGTAAAACCTGGTATTTCAGGAGAGCATAATCTAGATATTTATGTTTGGAGTATCTTGTTTTTCCTTATTTGTGAGAGGCAGATTATCCTGTGTCTGAGTACTGTCTGAAAGGATTGGCTGCCCATGGAGATGGGTCACTGACCTTGATGGAAAGCTGTGCCTCATCTGTTGTGGCAGCTCTTGCATTCCTGTGCACAGTTGAGAACATAAAATTCAATTTTACATCCCTTAGTACTTTGTTCAACTGCTGCTTGTTTCTCAGGGTAGCATTAGGAAACTGGCATTTTGTTTTGCTGTGTGTAAGTGGCTGTGTCCATTCCAGAAATCTGCTAGAGCTGGATTTGACAATACTGCATCTGAAAAAATGTATATGAGCACTTGTCCTTATTATCACACCGAGAAAGGCTCTGGTGTTTTCATTTATACAGCTTCTTAAAAAATAATTTTGACTCCATATGAAGTAGCATTATTAGTAAGGAATATCTTTTAACAAATTTTCAATTTTTAATGTGAAAGTGTTGTCATCTCCTGGTTATTGTTGTGTATGTATGACTTTGTAATGTGATAGTGCCTAGGGAAGGGCTGGATCCTTCTTGTGAGATGTACTTAACAAACTCTCTGAGCAAGTTTGGATTGTAAAGACCACAAGCTGAGACACTTGGGAATAATGTGGAAATGATGCTAACTAGTGTGGGAGACAGCAGCATGAGCACACCACGGAGGGTTTTATGGCAGGATTTGAAGAGAGTAATGAGGAAATTTTGACGAGTGTTACCGTATATTCTTCTTAAATTACTGAGGCGTTCCTCTCTCAAGAGGCAGCGCTGTGGTGGAGGAAATAAAGACTCAAAACTGAAGCTAAGGTGCTTTATTTGTTGCATTACAGATTGGAGGGGGAGAGAGAGAGAGAGAGAGAGAATGCAAAGATGAGATGATTGTATCTGAAACAAGTGAGAGAATGGTATTTGTAGTGGCCTTCTAACTATGTGCAGGTGGGTCAGTGCTACACTGCCACTTGTCATTCTTGGTCAGATTGAGTTTCTGCTGTCCAGTAAGATATTTTTAAATTATTACTGGTTTCCAGCTGTCATTATACAATCTTGAGGCAATTTCTTCTGGTTATAAGCTTTGATTTATGCAAGGCTTGAAAAAAGACCTTTTGAGCCAGCCATATGTCTAACAATGAACTCTTCCCTCTTCTTTGACACCTGAAATCCTAGATAACTTTCTAACATGTTTTTTCTTACTGTTTTCTGTTTAGCCTCCAGTTCCAAGCCTGAACTCAGCTCCAGTTCACAGACTTTGGGAAGTCAGCAGAACAAGACAGATGGCACCCGAGTAAAAACTCGCGTTCTGCCCAACATGCCAAAGCTTTTCATACCTTCATCTGTCACCAAATTTCCACCTGAGATCACTGTCACTCCACCCACTCCCACCCTCCTTTCTCCAAAGGGCAGCATTTCAGAAGAGACCAAGCAAAAATTAAAGGTAATAAAAGGGAAACAGTAATTTTTTAGATTATTGTTTTTATCTTAATTCTCCCCTCAGTAAAATACTTGTATGAAAGAAGCAGCAGTTCATAACCAGAGGCAGTATAAGTAGTGGAAGAAGGTGGTACCTGTTACCGGCAGGAGCCAGTTTTTTAAGGATTGGTGAAATATTGGCCGTGGGTGAAATCAGAGCTATTCTAGTCCTTATCCCTTTTCTGAATTGGAAGGAATTACAAAGATGGCTGAGTGAGCCAGTGCAGCCATTGCAATTCTTAGGTTAGTGGAAGCTACCAGAACATTAACTGTGGGGAAGCCCTCTGGTAAATGTCATATTGTTTCACATTAGGATATCATATCTTTCATAGAAGTAAGAGAGCTATTGAATGTGAAGGAATAACAACCAGTGGGCTTTTATCCCTGTGATCATGGGTTTATCCTGACTATTTAGCAATATATTCTCTCTCTCTCTTTTTGGGATCAGTCTGCTATTTTGTCTGCTCAGTCTGCAGCGAATGTAAAGAAGGAGAGCCTTTGTCAGCCAGCTTTGGAAATCTTAGAGACCTCAAGCCAGGAATCCTCACTGGAAAGTGATACTGATGAAGATGATGACTACATGGACATATGAATGAATTCTGGCCATCATCAACACCAACCATATAACCATCTTCTTGTTGCCAACATCTCTGGGAGTTGAAACATCTTCATTGGCATTACTCTCCATTTAATTGGCATCATTGTGTTCTTCACTTTCATTACCTTTGTTGTCACCACAGCCACTTGTATTGCCTTCAAAATCTTCTCCCCATCATGGTGCTTGACGGAAAGACTGATTGTTTACCAGGAAGTTAATTAACTTGGATCACGCTGTCACCGTTAACTGCAGTAAACACAAGGATGTTTTGTGCTGCAATTCCTATCTCTCTGCTGTTCCTGCTTCTTCAAACCAGAGCTTTGGGATTCACTCAGTAGCTCTTCTATAGCATTTTCTTCCTTTTAGTTGTCTTGCATTTTTCCCTCTAGCTAAGCTTTTCTCCCAGTAATTCAGCAACCTGATGTCTGTCTAACCATGCCATGATTAGTCCAACAGCTCCTTTTAAGGTGAATGGAGTAGGAAAAATTTACTGAGCTGGTATAATTGCATCAAGAAAGTCTGTAGCTTTGTCATAGGGCAAGGAGGGTGAGCTGAGAGTCTGTCAGCTCCTTCACACTGCTGGGTGTTTTGCTGGAATTTGACTCAGTGACAATGGACAAAAGAACCAGCTTTCCCAGGCAGACAGAGAGAGCTTGGTCTCCTGTTTGTGCTCATTTCACACCAATGTATGAGGTCCAGCAAAAATTATCTACCTGAATGTTGGCTTAAAGAACTGATCTTTCCAGAATTGTCTTACAGTCCTTTCTCTTCTAATGCCTTGGACAAGCATTTTGAATTGGGGGCTAGATGATATTTTTATGGTGGTATTGAAAAAAACTTGAAAGATTTCAGTACCATTTCAGTACCATTTCAGTAATGTCTGTTTTTTACAGAATGACACGAAAAGGTGTTTTTTATCTATCTGCAGAGGGACTGCTCACAGTTATTTATATGAGAAAATAATGGTAACAAAGATCCTCTTTTTTTTTTTTTCTACTGAATGTTAACTTTGTAAAATAATGAATGCAAACCATGCAAAAAAAAAATACGTCACACACTATATATACACACGCGTGCGCCCACACACATATATATATGTGTATGTACATATATATATATGTATGTATATGAAAACAGAAGTGCATACAGCTTGCAATGTCGGATTTCTTTGTGGTTGGGGGGGTTGGTTTTCTGTAAAATGCAGAGCTTTGTATAAACTTTTGGGGTTTTTTTCTAATAAAGTTGAAATGTACTGTTGTCTCTTGTTTGTTTGAGAGGGCACAAGGTACCATGGTTCTGGAAAGAGTACTACTCCTCTTTCCTTTTATTTCTTGGATAAGAAAGAAGGGGTTGGGGGGACACGATGGAAGCCTCTTTGTTTTCTGAAGACTACCAGAGCTCTTGGGGTGGGTTTGGTCTGTGTGACCCAGGAGCCAGATAAGCAGTGTTGCCAAGATTGCCTGCAACAGGTTCACTTCCCCATCAAGACATGATGTGAATTCTTTTTCACCTGTCCTGGTATCTTTGAATGCTGATGAACAACACAGGGGGGAAGGCATCATGTGGGGAGCAGGATCACATAGAATATTTGGCTGTACAGACTAGCACTTAATGCACTATTACAGTGATTAATCTCCCTGACTGTAGGAATGGCAGATGGACTGCAGATAAAAAGAAGCAGCATCAAACTTTGCATTGCAAGTTTATTCTCATATTCTGGGGTTTTTGTTTTGAACAAAATGTAGTTTATAAGCAAGTGAGCACGTTCATTTTGGATGTATTAGCAACTGTTTGTGTAACTTGTTTTCTTAATAGGTGAGGTGAATGCAGTTGATGTGGAAAAGATGAGGCAGCTGAATGGTAAAAGCAAATGTATTTTCAATAGTAATATATTTTCAGTGTTTGCTCTTTAATTTGCAGTGTATAGAATACTGTGCAGTCATTGACTGGTAAAAGGCTGAGGGAGCTTTAGATAATCAAGTACGATCTTCAGGTTTTTTAAAAGAAAGCATAGGAAAATGTAAGTCAGCTTCTTATGAGAAATGGAAAACAACCATGAGGATGTAGTTCTGAATAGGGCTTTTTCAAACGGAACAGACTACACAGACTTTTTGGCTAGTGTATATTCTTAAATGTATTGCTAACTTAAAGATCACATTTAAATTCTTAGGTCCACACTTTAGCATGGTTTGATGTATAAAGTATTTCATTTTCTTAATTGAATCCATTGCTGAAATTAGTTCTTTTGTTATTCTTAAGGATTCCTTGGCATTAAGCTTTTTGCCTTTTTTTTTTTTTTTTTCTCCAGAGCTTCCTAAAATACCTGGTCTTGAGTTTTCTTTTGGCTTCTAGTCCTGCTTTTTGAGAAGGATTTAAATTTTTGCTGGTTAAGGAAAGCTAGAACAGTAAGTGTAACTGTTCCTGTCAGCAAAGAGAGCTGAATTTGCTGATCTGCTCTAAACTCATTTTGATGTTCAAACTATGCAGCTGTGCAACTTGTTTTGTCCTGTATTCAACTCTCTTACCTGGTTTTCATTTGTTTTTTTTTTTTTTTAATCTATCATTTTTTATTCCCATGATGCTCTTGAGCAGCTCAAGGACTTTTTCTCAAGCTCAAGAAGTTACTGAGAGACTGAACTGCACAGGCCACCTCCTTCCAATCCTGCCCTTCTGCTCCTGACTAAATAAGTGTGTTGCTCAGCTGTGGGCCTTCTTCATCAAGGGGTGTAACTGCTGATGTGCACTGAAGGAGCTCTTCTTCTCAGTGTGTGAAATCATCTCTCTGTAAGTACAGTTTATGTAGTTCATCAGTTCAAGGAGCCATATTCTGGAATGGAGATGCCGAGATCAGTGGAGACGCGATTTTGTTTGAAGCACCATCCCTAAAGGTGCTTGGAGCAAGAAGTTCAAACAGAAATATTCACTTAGTGTGGTATCTTCTGAAGCTTGGCCATAGAATCTTGTGGAATTTTCAGGAAAAAAAGCATTACAGTTAAACTTCAGTTAGCAATTACTTCAAGTAATCTCATTTATTTCAGTCTAATCCTGGTGGTTATAGCTTGAAATCCAAGCCTAGGCAAGATCCAGTTCACCAAATTGCATATCAAATGTAAACACTACATCTGTCTTTGGGATTTACTGGGTAACCATTGTTATACAGTGTTCCCAGGTGTCTTTCTGATGTGCCAGGCAAGTAAATGGTAGCTACTGAAGTACATTGCTATGGTATGTTTTTGATTTGTTTTTTCCCTGTGAAGCCACAGGGACAAGAATGTCTGGTGTCTAAAGTAAACATAAAGGTGAGGCTTTTACTTCCTTCTTTTTTTTTTTTTTTTCTCCTGGCAGTAATTGATTAAAAACCAAATCCTTTTTGGCTACTGAAAAGCCACACTGTTAAGACTTTCAGGCAAACAGCAAAACCATTTTTGTTCCAAGGCAAATGGAAAAAGAAATGATTTTGAATCAGATGTTGAGAGGAATTTGTGGAGAGTTAATATACTTTCTGTGCTGTTACTGGGCATTGTTTTTGCATGCAGTAAGCTGTCTTGCACTGTTAAGGTGAAAGTACTGTTAATGTACATAGTACTGGGGTTTGACTGTGTAATGCAATTTTATTTCCTAGCACAGGGTTTATATAATCTATGTGTAGTTAAGACCATTGAGAATTTATCTCTCTAAGGCAAGGAGGACTAGTGTTTTACTAAGAATTAATTTTGTTGGGCACAGCTGTCATTAGTGGCTTCTGCCCACTGTCTGACAAATGCTGTAGCATTTTCTTCAAAAGCTAATAATGTTTCCTTCCACAACCAAAATAGCAGATCAAGGAAGATACCGAGTATCTCCTTAATTTTATCATGTACTAGGGCTTGGCAGTTGTTGTCTCTTGGTTGTTGGGTTTTTTTCCTCTTAATTAGAGTGAGATTTCCTCATGAATAATGAAATTAATGTCTTTTGCAGCCAAAATAAACACCATATGGTCAGGGAGAAAGGGACCAGGAAAAGAGGAAGGCGCAGCAGCTGAAGCTGATAGGAGACAAAATGGACTGAATGAGGGGCCAGGTGAGAACAGACAAAGTCTTACCATCCAGGGTGGGATCACACCATTGTTAAATTCCCTACCCTGCTTTTGCCAGAGGTGTTGATATTTCAGTGAAGGTGAAACATCTGTGGTGTACTACCCGAGTGTACTGTGTTATACACCAAGCACAGTCTGTTTCTGCTCCTGCAGGTGCTTGTACTTTTAGGGGACTGGGTGGGCAGGGTACACGAATTGAGATGCACGCAAAAAAAGCAGCAGACACAGATTTCGTGATCTCTCTCTTAGTCACGTAAAGCTGGGATGAAGAAGCTTTGCTCTTGCAGTTGAGGATGATGGTAAGAAGTTCACTGTAGGCTGAATATTAATTATTGTCTTCCCCTTCTAGTTGATAACTGGGGATCCACTAATGCTAAATTACAATACTATTCAGGATTTGGGGAGTAGCCTCGGGATACTGCACCACAGGCTGTACCCCAGCCCAGTTATGCCTTTTTGGGACTCTGCTGTCCTTGCAGGGCATGGTGGAACCAGGAACATTGTGAACCAGCATCTGGGTTTGTTGGCTTCTGGAGGATGACTGAACTTCACTCAAATGGCCCCTTCACATTAATACGTAGAGAATCCCAGGCAAATCTCACCAGGGAATTAAAGACATGTCTTCTTGGATAGACATTTTTATTCCTGCTGCTGTTTATTTAATGCAACTATGAGCATAACACCCATCAGCAAGCACTTGTTAGCCAACTCCAGAGCCCCTGTTCCAGTTTCAAAGCTGTCTTTGAGCTCACCCCCCTCAGTGCAGCTTTGTGCACGGCATGTGGGCAAAGTCCTGCTGGCTGTGAGTGCACCTCTACAGCCGAGTGCCCAGAGTTCATCCCGTGTCATTTGGGAGCTACGCTGGCTGCTCCAGTAGCACTAGAGGGGGCCCTAGGACAGAGGAGGGAAGGGAGGGGAAAAAAAGAAGGGAGAGACCAACCCCTCACCTTAAAATGGACGACCAAGATCTACCTTGAAACTTCTGAAAGACTACATTGTATTGCTGGTTTGGACCTCACTCAGTTCTTAGTGCTTTCTGCTACTGTACCATATGCCCTTTGCATAATGTATAGTCTGATTCAAAGCAGAGGGAATGAGAATCCTCATAGGCTGTTTACAGGATTGTGTGTTCCTGGCCATGGCAACCAAAAACAAGAGCTCACTTTGTTACCATTAATATTGACACTTGGCAGGAAAACAGATCCACTCTATACTTGCTTTTCACACAAAATCTGTTTGCCCCATGACTTTGTTTTCCCTTTTTTTTTTTTCTTTATTTCTCTATAAGAAGCCCACTGGGTGTTTCCATTTTCTTAATGTGCAGCCTATTATAGTGGGGAGAGGGAGCATCTCATGGCAACCTTGTGTAAAAGGGTTTAAATAACGCATTGAGCTTCGTCAGTGTAAATCCTGGTTAGTTCAGTCCCAGTTCATTGCAGTGGTGTGGGGTTTGTGCTGGTGTAGCTGAGCCCAGCAGTAGGTGATAAACATGCAACTTGTGGGTCTGTGAAGCATTTTGAGATATTTTTTGGGAAATAGAATTCTAATCAGGGATGAAAATGTTTATGAGACTGATGGAAGAAATAAGAAGCTTTCAAGCTTGGATAAAACCTTGTAAGACAGTGTCGGTTCTGTGAAGCAGCCTGGAGGTGAGATCAGGTCCTGCAGCCATCTGGCAGGCTTCCTGCTCGGGAAGGGGCACGGTGAGATGGAGCTGAGGCCACGCACTGACTGCAGAATCAGGAAAACCAAATCACTTCTACCGAGGGAGAAAGTGAAATCACACTTCTGCCCGCACGTAAGATTTATCTGCGCAATTAAATGATTGTGTCTATAGTTGGTACAAAAACATTCCATTATATAATCCCAGTGGGAGGAACACTTTGCAGTGTCTCTCTAACTACATTGTCCTATTGAAGGAAACTGCCTATCTAAAGCCTATCTATGGTAAAAAGTAGTTTTTGCTCTCAGATTAGACAGGGATATCTCCCTCTCAATTTCTGTTTCTCAGCCTATTTTTTTCCCTCTCCCATGTCTTTCAGAGACCCTGCAAACAACCGTGAATTCCAGTATAAATGGAATATAAACAATGTTCATATATGGTATAAGCATATGAGAACCCCACTGGAATGGTATTCATTTAATTTTAGTTGAGTGATATTATTATTGTAACTACAAGTGAAAGGCCATGTAGCAGGAGAAAGGTATTTTAGACATAGTGCTTCTTGCGTGAATTGTTACATATATCTACAGTTATCCTAAGGACCTGCCCACATATTCACATTCTTTTCCTTCTCTGAGGACAGATATGGAGGGCTGTTCACAGGGAATAGTATGCAGCTGAGTTTTACTTGCAAGTATGCATTACATGAACTATGATCTAATATAGCACCGAACACATACTGTTCAGTAATAATTAGTAAAGGATGTTGTATGAGCAGAAAAGCTTCATATACTTGAGGAGTGTTCTTTGATTCCTTGTAATTTAAGTCACACCAGAGATTTCATTTCCTTAAATTATACCCTAGTGTGTATGAAGAGTCACATTTTCTCTTCTAAATGCGTGGATATATATAAAATGTAACTCCTTCAGTAAGGTTGCAGTGATAATTTTCTTTTCCCCTTAAAAGATGGCACTAGATGTATTCTCAGAGAATCGCTGAACTTGTTAATTGAGCCAACATACAAAAACTCACCATGCTATATGGATGTCAGCAAGCAGTTTGAGTATAGAAATTTGTCACTTAGGAATGTCTGGACCGTATATCAGATTTCCATTAGGTTAGAATGGGCTACGAAGAAAAAATAAATTAAAAGTTCAGAGATTCATAGTGGGAGTTCTGAGCTTACAGCATCAATTTGCAATGCTGTGCCCTGAAGTGAGCGACACAAGTTCAAATAGCTGCTGCCACGGCTCTCCCAATAGACACCCTGCTGGAAATGCTTCCTCTACTTAATAAGTAAATGGGCTTTCCTGGGAGCAAAACAAAGAGCCTGACATGTTCTTTCACAGCAAGTATCAGTGGTGCAAGGGGATTTTTCAGTTTGGCTTTCTTGGAACACCATAACAGCTTGGGATTGCACATCGTAAAGCATTTCTGCAGAGGGAAATGCAGGGGGTTTGTGCTGATAACCTGGGTCGGTTGATTCCATTGTACTGCTACCCAAGGAAGCATTTGAATTCTGCCAGTGCAATCAGAACAAGCTATTGGCATCTAGGCAGTGCTGTCAGCTCATGTTTTAATTGTGGTGAGACAGGCATGGGTCTGTCTGCAGGAGCCAAACAAGCCGAGTGCATTTACTGGAACACACTTGGATGCACAGTGATGCTTTTTACTCTCTCTAAAATCAATATTCCTGTGAACTGGGCAAGGATTCTCCTGCAGTGGCACATTCTACCAGGCCTGCACTTTTCCTTGGAAGCTGTTAATATAGCTGGTTTTGTCAAGATAAGGAGAAAAATGAGAAAGCAGTGCAGGTTTGCTAGAAAGCCTGCAACCTCAGAGTTGTTTTAATTCCTTGATGTGTCGTACTCCCTCCCCCTCACCACAGAGATATCCCTGTGCAGCTGGGATGGCAGGTGCCCACCCTGGCCTGGGCTGAGCCCCTGGACGTGTGTATTGGCAGCTGTTGAGGAGCAAACACAAGGGCCTTAACAACTGCACATAGTTCAGCTCCCTGCTCTGGAGGTGTTACCCTCCAAACTGGGGAGTTCACTTTCAGATAACTGATACTTGATCAAAATGTAAGAGAGTGTAAACAGTCTGTGCATAAAATTCACTCCTGCTGCATTTTATTTTTTGATAAGGTGAGCTCGTTGCAATTTCAGTGAAACTCAGACATATTTGTATTCCTGTTACAGTGCCCAGGCTGTGTGTATGGTCGTGACTCAGTTATGACAACTCAGGCACACAGACAGCAGTGGGGCAACTGGCTGTTATCTGGTGCTATCAACACGTGGAAAAGTAGCTGTAAAGAGTATGAAAATATGGAAATGTTATTTCCAAGTGCAGAGAGTCTGCTGGGGAAGAGAGAGAGGAGGAGGAGGAGGACAATGTTCCTTCTGAAATATGTGCCTGATTCAACAAGGTCGTCATGGCTAGGCTTCACCAAGGAAGATTTGGGAAGGCTCTATCCACATTTGTTACAGGATTCAACAAGGTACCTAAATGTAAATAACTACTGTTGATTTCAACAAAGATAGCAAAGGGCAGCATCAGGTTACATGTCACCATAGGATTACACTGTGTACAGTTTCTTCAGCGACCTGAAGTATTTCTATAACTAAAATTTCCATCAAAAGTAAATGCTTTAAAATAAATAGACTTAACTTCCTTAGTATGTGCAAACTCAAAAGTTCATTGTTAACCACTGAAAAATGCAAAAGGCCAAAGAAAGGTGGAAATATCTCTGCTGTTAAAAAAAAAAAAAATCAGCCCTAATTACTTGTCCCTGAAATTATGATGGCTATGGCATATAGATGAACTTTGGAGAGCAACTAGTGTAATCCCATAAGGTCCAGAAAGGGAGGTCATAAAATTAAGTTCTGTTTGGTGATACCTGTCTTCATGTGATCCCTGAGGCAATGTTTGTTAGGAATATCATTTCCTTTAACAGCTTTTCTCCCCCATCCTCAGGGGCTCATACTGTTCCAGCAAGGAAATCCTGGGGGCTTTCAGAGCAGTAGCAGCAGAGCTGGTGATACATTCTGAATAACATGGACTAGAAGCTGCTCTTTCTTCGTGGGTTCTGTATCTGGATTTTGTCAATATTCACTTTCTGCACCCATTTCATGATAACACCATTGATTTATTCATTAAATCATAAGTGTCAAAAGAACTGAATTGTGCATCAGAACTTTCCCATTAGCTGGTGAGTTTTGCCATTTATCTTCCATTTTCTGTCTCCATAAAATAGAAACTACTTGTCCAAAACTGTCCCCCCTCCCTAAATTGCCACTGAATTTGCAGCTAGGACATTTTTATATGTCTTAAAATGTTTATAATTTTATCTTCTAGCCAATTTTAGGTAAAACTGTGGCTTTTTTCATCTTGAGTGAATGAATATTAATATCTGCTAGAAACCATTCCCATTGTTAAATTAAATGAGAGCAATACAGAAGTTATCTGAGTTTTTGTCATGGTGAATAACTCCAAATAACTCAGAGCTTCCCATGAGTTCTGGAGGGGACTAACAAGTGTCTGCTCATGTAAGTGTAGAACATGCTCAGTTTTTTTGAGACTCCTTAGCTCTGAATGCTGAGAAATTGGGATAATTAAGTGCAGCAAAAAACCAAGTCTCTGTTCTAATCAAGACTTACTTGGATTTTTCAGTTTTTCCCATTCCCCAGTTGAAATTTCCTGTGTCTTGTAACCATTTAGCAATATGTTACTAACCATCCATTATGTCCTGCTTTATTCTCTTTTAGATGAAAGAGCCATGTAAAAAAAAGAATTCACCAGCCCCTGTGACTGAATTTGAGCGATAATGTCAATGGAATTAACACATTGCCATTGTTGAATGGTCTCCTGTGGCTATATAAACATCAAGGTAACACATTTCCAAAGCAGAAGACATTACTGCTGTGATACTGTTGTTGTGAGAATATTTCCTTACTGCCAAAACACTGATGTAGATTTAGCATTTTGCCTGCTGGAGAATGATGTTGGGGGGGGGGAGAAGGTTGATTTTGCTGCTTTTATTTTTGCTGAATTCTGGTTTATTTGCTGAAGAAAATCTATTACGTTGTTTGGCTAAACATGGAATGAGAGTGTAAATACATTGAGGTTTATTTAAGACAACCTCTGATTGGTAAATGCATTTAAATGACAGCACTTTTAAGGGCCTAATTCCATTTCTGAAGAGGACCTTTTGAAAAAACTGGGGCAGAACTACCTTCAGGAAACCCAGGATTCTTCAACAACCTCTGCAAACAGAAACAGACTGAGGCTTGAATACCTCTCATACGTTGCTGAGTGAAATGTTGGTAAGATGAAAGTTTCAGTTCTAACTTTGAGGGTGGCAAACAAGTTGTCAGGCCAGGCTAGTTGGAAAAATTTTTAATGGTGATGATCCCACTGCAGATTCGTTGTCACTGTCTCACCTAATGCAAGAGAGAAATAACTGATGGGGATGTGGCACAGAAGTGGTTTGGAATTATTTGGGTCACAGAACCATGGAGAGTGGCTGCACTGCAAAAGCCAGAGCTGGTCAGTAGGAGATGCAGGTAACAGTAATGATTTCCTTTATTATGACTTTTCTGGTGCAAGTGGAAAAAGAACCTGTATTTTTGTGAGAATATTTTCATTTGTCTTCAGGCAAGAAAATATTCAGGCAATAGGTGCTAAACCTGACAAATGCTCTTCCTAAATAACCCTTGTTATGTGAGTTTTACTTCTCTGCAAGGTTAAAGCCATCTTTAAACAACGAGTTGATAGGTTTGCTGCATTTCTGCAGATCAGAGACCATAACCCAGGTATCAAAGGGTGGGAAGTCAATCTCAAGGTTGACCCTACTGGGCAAAGATAGACATATCCCCCTCCAGAATCCGTGAGACAGACCCACTGCCTGGCCAGAGCTAAATCAGTTCTGGTAAAAAGGACTTCAGTTTGCAAAGCTAAATCTGTCACTTCTGTGAATGTTAGGGCTGAAACAGAAAAGAGGGAGGTGTTGTCCATCCCAGTTCGTTGCAAGAACAGCCCTGGGTTGGACTCCTCGAAGGAAAGGACTCCTCAGCACAAGGAATGTTCTGTTTCTGGGCTGCTCTTGGTTGTCAAGGGTTAGAAAAGAAAGTTGTGAAGGAAAGAGGGAGGAGCTGCCCTTGGCAGGAGTTTGTTAGGACACAGAAAATGACTTGGTGAACGATGAACGCTGTGCAGGAGATCAGTGAATGAAGTGGACCTGGCTGTGTGACCTGACGTCCTGTTCTCTCCCTTGAGGGCTGTTTGAAGCTCTCTGAAAGCAGAGAGGAGAATAGCTAGTAAACTTTGTGCCTCAGAATTGCACAGAGAATGCTTCTTTGATCCATGGATCAATCTTTTGTCAGCTCTAATCCAATGGCTGATGGCTTTAGTGTATCTGCACTGTCACCCAAAGGCACTTGTTGGGAAATGTAACTCAGTGACTCAATAACTTGTCACCTTTCTCATCACTCTGACCTAAGCATAGGAGTGGGGAAGAGGAGCACTCTACCAGTCTCAGCAACATTTAGATTGCAGTCATACTTCCCTTGGGAGTCAATAGCTTTTGTGAATGTCTGGAAAAACAGGATTTTCTTTCTGTAAATCCTCAGCTGGGTAGAGAAGCTGATGGCAGGACCCCTGAGCCCAGCAAGAGGATACCAATGGCAGAAGCATCCACAACCTGTTACTTTTCTTTTTTTTTTTTTTCTTCACTGTGTCTTACCTTTCCTTTTTTCCCTTCTTTCTTTCTACCTTCATTTTCCCATACATTTTTCCTCCACTTATCCACCTTTTTCCTTTTAGGAAGTTATGGAGCCCTTCTTCCCTAGGGTTCTCCAGAACACCTGCCCTCAGATGGCTCACAGCACCAGTGCCAAAACAGGCACCAGCCTAATTGCAGCTGCAAATAACACCAGGGACAATGCCACAGAGGAGAAAGTGGTGCATTATCTGAGTCAATTAATATGGTCCTGATTTTATCACCTTGGACTGTAGTAATGTAGTTGTGTGTGTACCCTTAGACCTAAACATGCAACAGAAAATCTCATGGGGGAAATTCAGCATGAATCCTATGGTTTCTTTCCTGTTAGTTCACATTAGGTCTCCATTGCCAAGATTCTGAACAAAAGGCAGGCCTGGCCACTGCTTGGGATTGTTGTTGAGGTTCACACTTGAGTCTGAAAGATTCTTTCCTTTTGCATTTGCATTTTGCATTTCACTTGATTTAAGCTCCATTTCGCTTCTGGGATGATCCAGATTCCTCAGATACTTCACCCAAATTCTCCAGCTCTTAGAAGTCATTGGAAGAAAGAAACAGGCAAACAGTCTCCTTCAAGAGAACAGAGGTCTCCAGTAAAGCTCTGAAGCAGTGTGATCGAATAAGAGAAGCCTGGACATTTCCCTCTCCTGGAATCTGTGTCAAATGTGTGGTGCTGTAACCCACGGTGTGCCAGTGAGCCTGGGTTACATCCCAATGGGAAGCAGTCTGTTCATGTGCCAGTGGAACATCCCTTCTTCCTTGTGGCCCCAGAATTCCTTTAGTACTCCTTCGAGGTATCACAGGAATAAGAGGTGAGAAGGTGTCTCAAAGCCTTCTTTGCTGCTCCTGCCAAGGCAGGACTGTTCTCTGCAATACCAGTGGTTTGTGCAAAAGACAGTTAAAAGCCTGACACAGTAAGGACTTTGTCTGTTCCTCTGTGAACAGGCTGCCCTTGCGCAGCCGGAATGTTTTTTTCCTGGATACTCAAATTGCTTCTCTCTCATTTTCATCCCAACTAATGAAGATAATTATATCCCTTTGTAGCACATTAATTCCTCTGTCATCTGTATGTTTACACCCTGCAGACATGTTCATTTCTTCTTTGTGTACAGGGCTGTCAATCAGCAAAGATTTACTTTACCAACTCCTCTAATCTTTTCTGGTGTTCAGCTCATCCAGTCTCCCTCCAGTTCCCCAGTAGCTTTGATAATGAGGTGATAAGAATTACTTGTGGTTTTACCAGTTTGTTTTACAGCAGGCTCTCAGAAAGAAGCCCTGCCACTTCCCTGCTCAACTGTATGCTATTTTCACATGTGCATCCTGTGGTTATGTTTGTGGTTATGTTTCCAACAGGGAAGTGAAAGCATCTCACTGCAAAAATCCCTATGAACTATCTCTGTATTGGAGCCTCCTTGATGTTACCATATTTTTTATAGGTGGATATGGCTGAACATCACTGTCTTCAAAAGCTTAAGTGATACTAAGGTTATCTAAAGGGAAAATCTGGAATCAGGGGTGAGGAACTCCAGAAGTCAGCAATTCTTCCCTTGAACAACTTCTTCACAGTATGATGCAAAGGGAGGAGAAGGAGTATTTCCATCTTGGAGAGGAAATACACAACAAAAAAAAGTCAGACATAATGGGGAACCATGAATGGACTTAGATTTCAAATATTTGCCTCAGGTTTATGATAATCTACACCAGCCCTCCCAGGCTTGGTAACTTGTCCACTCTGTCCTGTAGAGCACAAACTGTTGATCTGAGGCTCCCTGTGCTCTATAAGCAGTTATTTGGAAATGAAGCTCCTCGGCAGTGAGTCCAAACCTCCATCTCAGGCAGGCTCAGCTCCCTAATCTGACCCCAGCAGGAGCTCCCTGCAGAAGCTTAAATGAGTAACTGCAGTATTAGAGGGTGGCAAAACCAGTGAACTCATTATTGATAACCATCTAATCTGTGCTCACAGAAATACTTGCTCTCAAACATGACTTTGATTTCCTCCTGCACACTCCCCAGCACTCTTCTTAGCAGAATTTAAGTATTTCTGATGAATCTACATTGTATTGTTTGTATCTGCATTTGGTTGGCAGGCGGAGGTTAGACTGTGAAATAGCAGTCGTTTAAAAACAGTTTTGCCTCACAAAAGCAAAGTTTGTGTTTTTAAGAGTGGTACCTATTATGTGTATTACTGTTTGCAGGGTTAGAGACGAGAAGAAATCTGTGTCATTTATGCCCAAGTAGATAAAATCCAGTATTTTCAGTATGATGCAGTCATTGCACACCTCTGTTCTCGTTCCAAGTGAAACTTGTCTGTATAACCATTCAGATAGGACAAAACCATGTGTCATCCCTTGGTTTCTCAAGGAATTACAGCCAATATATTTAAATCATGCAGGTGTCTGATGTTCTTAACAACTTAGAAGCATTTGTTCGCTATAGTAGGGCTAATTTTTAATTTATTTTTCTAAGCACATCTATCCAAAATGATGCTAGGCTTTTATATTCACAGCAGGGAGCATTGTGAGGTTTAAATATCCCTTTAATCACTAAGGATGTAATAAAAACAAGAAGAGTTCTTTGAGCTGCAGAGTGTTACCCAGGGAAAAATCTACTCTGGAGCTTACAAATGTGAGCTGAAGAGACAAACTGGGCAATAAAATCCACAACTACGGACCAAACCGGCTAAAAGTTGGTCTGTAGCTGCCCATCAGGAGCTGAGACTCGGAGGGGGGAAAAGGCCATTCAGCACCTCTAGAGCCATAAGAGCCAGGTCATAAACATTTCACAATCTGCTGGGGAGGGGGAGGGAGCCGTGGGGCTGAGAACTGCCTGCAGTCTGTACCCGGGCCCGTGACTGCAACAAAGAATGAGTATAGAAATTTGACTGTATGGGAAGAACAGAGGGAACAAATCTGGCCAAATCAGGGATTGCAGGGAGAAGTGGCAGCTGTCAGTACATGTACATGTCTCATCCCACTGTTGATGTGAGGAATCCATGAAATCTGACAGGTGCTTTTTTCTATTATCAGTGATGTTGAAGGATTCTTATCTGACTGTTGTTACTATGGACCCCAGTATCGGTTTGCTGTGAGGTGATGAACAAGTTGGGTGCGTTGTAGAACTCACAACAGTTTTTATTTTTAAATTCCAAACACTTTAAATCTTAACAATTTTAGTCTGCTCTTTGAAGATAGTTCCTCTGATAGGAATTATACTGTTTATTGATCTCCTGATTTCATTAGAACCTTACTGTGATGAACAGTATATGGAAACTTCCTTATGTGATTGATACAAGAGATCTGTCTTGGCCAAACAAAGTAACTTGGACCCTTTAATTGTGTGATTGAAGTCTGGGTTTTTGTAGGTTTCATGGCTTTACAAATGCCTGATCACCAGCAAAAGAAATCTTTTGCAGAAACTGAAGTAGCATGACAGTGTATCGACAATCTTGAAAGTCCATAAGGTTTAGATAAAAGCTTCTGGGTTTGAGCTGCTGCTTTTTTTTTCTGGAGACATCAGCTTTTTAATGGAGATTGGTGCAGCATTGTCTGTTGAGCTTCTGCTCAGCAGAATCTGTTCTGCTCAGGGTTTTTGTCTGGTCTCAATTCATGGTTAAGTAAACTGCCAGCAATTTTTGAGCTCTGCATGATGCTTCTCTTTGCAGATGAGTGTGTGCATGTGTATAAATATAGAAGTATTTATGGATGGATGTTAAGCCGGCCTTACTTGCTGTCTATCTTCTCAGGCAGCTCCTTTATGGCTCCCGGTGGAGACCAGTGAGTTCAGGCAGGGCTGCTGCGTCCCCGGAGCGAGAGGAAGGAGCCTTCCCAGTGCAGGGGAGGGAAGGCAGCGTTTGCACTGTCCTTTCCCGTGTTGTGGTGCAGAGCTCTCCTTGCTGCTGCAAGTCCTTTCAGTATGTATTTTTTGTGGATTTGAGTGGGACAGAGCGCTGTGCTGTGTCTGGGAAACACAATGGGTCGGCAGGAAAACAGTGCACCTAACATCAGGAGTCTGTGGGAACTTGAAAGGGCTCTAGACAGACATATTTTGCATTTGACTCTGGACTGTAGCCTTTGAGGCCAAACTCAGCCTGCAGTGTTAAGTGGCTGCTAAGTATTTCCCTTCTTGTCTCCATGCTAACGAACTGCTGGGAGCAGGGGGAGTATTGCAGAGGGCTGGGGAGGGCGGATGTGAGAAAGGGGAGATAGGGGAGCATCCTCTTTCTCTTTAGTGGGGGAGCACAGCTTTGTGGCCAGGTACCTCAATCCACAAACCTGCAAGAGGAAAAGCCTTGTCTTAAACTTGAAATGTACAGCTTTTCATTTTTATGAGCTGCTTTCTCACATTCCCTTCCAGAACAGATCCTGTCTCAGCCTGTGACCCATCCCCACAGCTCTGTCCGGGGACCCTGTGGTGAATTAGCATTGAGATGTTACCAACAGGCCCTCTCCAACCGTTTTGGTTTGCCAAATGTTATTTTTGCATTTTTGAGAGCACAGGGAAAATTTGGGGGTGATACAATTTGGGGCTCAGTATGGGGTTTTCAGCCCCTTGCAGGGGTCCCAGGGTGGGAAGGTCTGAGTGGACTGCACATGTAATATGCCTGAAGACATCAGACAGCTTTTCCCAGGAAAAATCAAACCCAGCCATAAAAAGGGAGAAAAAAGGTGCCATTTTGCTCCATCCAAAGAAAATGTTATGTTATGTGAGCTCTCCTAAGGAGCTGGGTAGGAACTGTTCCTTTGCTACCGCATCATAGGAGATAATTTGTACCACTTCTTCAGAGGATCTCAAAACACTTTGCAGGGTTTTACCATTCCTGCAGCCGCCCACAGAGACTTGCTCACAAAGCTGCCCAAGTTTAGGCTGTGCCTGTGCTGCCAGAGCTCGGGCACTCTGTCCTGGCCAACCCTGCACTTGTATTTCCTATTTTGCTGCATTAAGTATTGGGCACTAACAAGGGCAAGGAGTCAGTGTAGGGCTGTCTATCTTGGGTCCTGTAATGACATGGTGTCTCTTCACTTTTTCAGTGCTCATCCCGTGCAGATGGCAGAGTATCCTTCGTAAAGAGTTGCCAAGATGCTCTGCCACTGTGGTCTGCATGTGCCAGGTGGGAATCGGCTAAATGAGTCACACTGAGATGGCAGGAAGGCTTTCCTCATGTTTCAGAGGGGAGAATCTCTTAAATGCAGTTTGTACTGCTCCGTGGGGGTTTTTTTCTTGCTTGTGTAGATTCAACACAGCTTTGCTTAAGCCCAGTTTACTAAAGCTGATATGATAATACTTTCTCACAGCTGTGTGCACAGAGGGAAACCTGCAGGGGCTGAACACTGGCTGCTGCACCCAGGGGCTGATACACATGAGCAATAATCCAAGTTCTTTCAAAAGACCATTCTGTTGCATTTCAGCCGTGCCCCAGGCAGTAACTTTATGCCTCATACTTGAGCTTGCTTTCTGGGCAGAATGATTCCCTGGAAGCTCTGCCTGGGCAGAGGTGGTGGTGCATTGGGCACATCCACTTGCAGACTCCCACCCTGTTAGCCAAAGCCCCCTGCTTGCTGACATGTTAGTTATCTGTTCTCTAACAGTCTGAGAGCCCCAGGCAACAACCAGAGATGGTGAGATGATCACTGTGTTGGACAGCAGGGAAGGCTGTCCAAACCAGCTTTGTTTGTGTGCAAACCAGCTCCATACAAGGTCCTGTTGAGCACTAAGAGTTAAAGCTTCACTTAAGGTGGGAAAAATGCCAGAAAACATTTGCCTTACTACAAGACCCAGAGGGGAATGTTTCTTTCTAATCACCTCCTCAAAGAGATGCAAAGCAAAAGCTCTTGGCCTCTGGTTTTGTCATCACTGCACTCCCTCCCTCCTGCACTGCCCTACCTCGTCCCTTTGGCACAGGGCAGAGCCTACAGTTAGAGCTGGGCTCAGCAGGATTTATACCTGCTGCTGTAAATGAGCTTGGAGCAGAGCTGTGGATGTCACCGACTTACACGTCAGATCCACTCTCTCTCCTGTCCCTTTCCACACCCTCAGCCTCCAGTTTGCCAGGGAATTGTTAGACACCAGCACATTCACCTCTGACTTCCCGTCAAACTGCCTGAGGGCTCTCCGTGGACAGACAGACAAGGGTAATGTGCTAAATTCCCCCTTTGCTAAGGATGAATTTCCTGGGGATTGCCTCCTGTTAGCCAGGCTTTCCAGCAATAGTAACAAATTCACTTTTTTTCACTTTTAAAACCTTTCCAGTGCAACTGGAATGGCTGGGAGAAAACTAGTTGTTAACTAGTCATGGGTAATTAATGACTCCACCTTCCCCATCAATCAGCTGGGAGAAGCCAAAAGGATTTGAGTACTTGTAGCAAATGTGTGCTCCCTAGACATGCTGATAGCAGCGTGCAAATGAAGTGGCAGCAGGAGACCATCTCATACCCTTTGTGGAAGAAGCAGAAAGTCATGATACACATCCCACGCTCTTGTCAGGTGAAGTCTGAAATTCCCAGTGCTGCTGCTGCTGTTGTGCAGTTTCTAACTGTGTGGGATGTTGATTCATCTCGCTGCTAGCTCGAATCTGACCCAATTTTTGTTCTATTTTTCCTTTTCAGATTCTGATTATGGTTGTCTTTTCCGCTTTTTACAATTAAAATACTAGCATCAGAAAAGCAGGACATGGAGAGGGAGCTGATTTGATGCTGTCTTTCCTTCTGTGGCAGAGTAGAAAAGCATTTCTGCATCCTATTTGGTTTGTGTCTGGTAGTGGCTGTGCAAGTACAAGCAGAGGTTTGACCTTGATACCATTTCCAGCTGACCTTTTCCCTTCTGATTTATTTTTCCACGTATGTAATAAATAATCTCCATTTGAGGTACAAGTTGATGTTTCTCCACCATATGAAGACCTCTCCTCAGTGGTAGCAAGACTCCACAACTGTGGATGTCTCCAAATTAGCTGAAGGAGAAGAGCCTGTGGTCTTCTGTATTATCCAGTGGTTTAAAAGGGATGTCAGGAAGGCTGGATGTGGTCCTTCAGAGGTACCAGGAGCCAATGGACCACTCCTGCTATAAAATCCTCCTCAGGACTTTTTAAACTCCCCAACCCTTTTCTTTTAAACGTTCTTCCTTGCCACGCTAAGCATTAGCTTTTCTCTCCCTGACTAGTACTGCCATGCCTAACATTCAATATACCACTGAAAGAGCCAGTCCCTCCTCTAATTAAGCTGCTTTGTCCTCTTTGCATGTCTTCACGTTGCCTGCTCCAAAAGGCAGAACAGAGCTCAAGGAATGTTGTTTGGGTGTAGGAACTCACTAAACAAATTCAGAATACATTTTGCATGTCAGACTGAAGATCAGGTGTCCCAGTAACATCACTGACAAAACAGAAAAATGTTTATTTTTCTTGGAGTGAATCTAGACAGTGAATCAAATGCAGCCTTATACATAGCAAGAGCTTTGAAATGAACAGAGCTCCCAGATTTGCCGTGCAGGACCCACCACTGGCCCATCGAGACTGAGATCCTGCTTTTGACCTCCACTTTCTGACCGTGTTGGTCCTGTCAGTGTTGGTACAGCCATTTCTGTGTGTGAGTGCACAGAACCTTCACCGAGGTGCAGTGGCTGTGTCGTGCCCTGAAGGCCTGAGCCTTGATTGCTGTCTCTTAGCACTTGTAAGCACTTATAAGCACAAAAGCTAATGGTCACACTTGCAGAATAAACTAATTAAGTGAAAATGCTCAAGCCCTTCTTTCTGCTCAGCCTTCCCTGGGTACGAGCAGTACCTTGAGCAAGACCTAAACCCAGTGCCTGATCTACCCCCAAAAAAGTTCAGGGTGCAGTTCAGGGCTGGGAATGCAGATATTGGGCAGGTAAGTAACGTTGTATCATCAAATGTGTTTACGTTGTTGGAGAAGGATCTGTCCTTGAAGGGATGTGTTGTGGCAGCATTCCAGTTGTGAGAGCAAACTTCGGCACCTACTTGGGAAGGGCCAAGCTCGATGCAGCCCTATTCTGATCCCAGAAATCAAGAGTAAAATGAGTTTGTGCGCTCATGATGAGAATTACCACAAATCCGCGGAATAGCCAAAAGGAAACTTTCCCTGCTTGCTGTTTAACGGGATTTGTTTTGATTTCGTAGCTAAGTCCTCAACTGATGTTTTCGGTCTTGTCTCTATTTGTTTAAAAGTGCGTTAGCAGTAAATCAAGGTGCATTTCCCCCGTCGGGTTTCCTGTATGTCAAAGCCATGTTAATTCTCTTTGATTTTCTTCCCCTAGCCCAAGCCATTGCTGCAGATCCTTCCTCTCTTTGTCCCTTTGGACATCAAAGGATCGCAAGGGGACAGCCCTGGCGGGAAGCTCCTCCCTGCTCATTAGCCTCCATAAAACAGGAACTCACCTTGGCTAGCTGTGCTCGGGGTCCCATCCTCATCCCGCTCACTCTTGACACTGGATCTCAGAAGGAAGGGCTTGTGCTTGCTTCAGGAAATCAGACCTGCTTTTGAACTGGACTATTTTGGTTCCCCTTGCAAGAACTCTGGTGACTCTCTTGGCCGTGCAAGCTCCTAGACGTCACAGTACATGGAAAAATGCAAGCTTTACCAGGTAAGGACTCTCTCCCTTTCCTTATGGAGTGGAAAGATCCTAGACTTATGCCAGAAAGGGAACAAGTGCTCCTGAAGGGCTACCAGCATTTACAGAAGTATGCATGGGGTTGGAGAGGATTTATTAACTTTTTTTTTTTAAGAGTAGATAATAAATTGTGAGGTTTGACTGTTTTTTGTGAGCCTTCAAAGATCTTTTCTAAGGTAGCAAAGGTTTGCTCACAATATGTCCAAAACTCCCTTATCCACATGTGCTTGTGCCATGTGATCGTTCACTGAGGGCTGGAGGTGTTATTTGTGTATTGTCTGCAAAGTACTGAGTTCTTCGGGTTGAAGGCCAGGGAACGTTTGGAAATATTTGTTCTACTTCTAATAATAGCTCTGATACCAACTATTTGGTTTTTCTTTTTTTTTTTCCCCCCTCTGCCCATTGAAATTATAAACCACAAGCAGGCATAGCCCACCTCTTCCAGGCTCATGCACAACACACAAGATTTTTATGGTTTCCTTAGGCTCTCGTTGTGTTTTCCTTCATCAGTGCATCCCATAACATGCTGTTTATCTCTCCTGTGTGGGGCATGATTGGATTGGGCACAATGGCTGATATGCATTGGGAAACTAAGGGCCAGCCCAGAGGCACTGCATTTGTCAGTGTAACTGAACCCCAAATTTACTCTGGGGTTTTACTGCACATCAGAAGGAAACAGTTATTTTACCTGTTTTAGGGTTGTGCAGTTCATAATACACATTTAGAAGTGACTGGGCATTCTCAGCTTCCTTTTTCTTCCTCTGCAAGATGTTGTGTCATTCATAAGCAAAATACCTGTGCAGTGACTCAGTTAATTTCCAGCATCCTGCTGTTTGGGGTTTTGCAGTCCCTGCTGTGTTGATCTGATTCATACTGATTTCTGCCACTTCTGAAGAATTTTGGGTTGAAAAACAAAAGAGCAACAATGAAAAGATATAGACTGTATTATGGTATTTTATCATGTGAAGATTCCACCTATTGCAGAAGTCACCTCATTTTCTTACTGAGTTGCTTCTGGTGTATGACTCCCTAGGGCAGAAATATTCCAGGTGATGGCTGGGTGCATCTCAGAGATGAAGCCATTGCATTTGTAGAAATGCCATACTTTTGTTATTGCCAAAAAATCCCTCTGGTTCTGAGAAATGGGGTTCCCTCTGGAGGGTCGGAGTGTTTCTGCTGACATTTAGAAGATGAGAAAACTTGGGAATTTTTTTGATTGTTGGCAAGATTAATTTCTTAAAAAACCTTATACATTGGCGTGCATTCCTTCCTGTGGACACTGGATAGCTGTTAGTGTTGGACTTCTTCACTTGGAAGATAACAGCAACAAATGTAACAATAACTGGTTTTAGTGAAGGTAAGAAGCATATCTTTAGCCTTGTTGGACTTTTCCCAGTATTGCAAACTCTATCCCATACATTTTGGAAAGGCTGCAACAGATTTTCTGACATCATAACATTGTCTCTGCAATTGACAATGAATTGAAGGATTGCTTTAGGTGAGGGAATTGTACTCCAGCATCTCCTGTCCAAAAAGCTTCCTTCTTCCTTCAAGAATTACTGAATTGTCTCTCATTTCTTTCTTTCCATCCCCAAGATAGGAAAAAGGTATGTACAGAAACTGTAGGACAAGCTGCTTCTATTGGTATATGGACTTTCAAACCAAGGCCGGAATAGATTGAAGATACCTGAATTTTCAGTGCCTTTATCATCCCATCTTTCTTCCTTTTCAACCTCATCTGGGCATAAAGAATACGTTTTAAAATGTGCCACATCCTGTGTTACCAAAACAATGATAATCATAATGCTTTTTAAAAAGCTTAGAATTAGAATTCTTGGAAAATGTTCAAATGTCTTTCAAATAATACTTAAAAACTAAGTTACATAGAAGAGGAAATCATAGAAGTACAGGTCTAACAAGTTCCATTCAGTGCTTGGACACCCTGCCCAAACCTCTCTGTGCTGTAATTCCAGCGCACAGGCAACTTTGGAGGGGGTTGTGTGCCTGAGTCTTGGCATTAGTTACTCAGGCACGAACTAGGAGGAAATTGGAAGTGCCTTGCTAGCCAGCCTTTGACTCTGCAAACAAAATCCAAAGTGGATCCTACAAATAGATCCCGCTGGAGCCGACAGCGCACGGCTGCAGAGTCGGCTCTGTGGATCCATTCCCAAGCTTGCACTGCTGGGGTCCAGATCCTCATGCAGACTGTTAATGTTCTGTTTTTCAGCCTCAAACTGTGCACACAAAACCTGCATGGTGAAAGGCATTAACCACATCTTGAAATCTTTGCTGCAGCGTTTATTGTCCCTGTCTCCTGCAGCATCGCTCTCCTGCAGGTGCGGCGTGGACTCATCTTGGTAAAAAACAGGTTATAACAGCTGCCTTTGATTTTTAATTCACTGTTGAACTTCTTTCACTTCGGTTCCTCTCTACTTCATTGGAAGTCTCCCCTCAATGAGGACTCCTGAGATCTGTCTTGTTGTAGTCTCATTTAATGGCATTGGAATTTGCTTACAGAAATGTTAATTCTAAAATTCATCTGGGGAAGGAGCGAGCGTCTGTCTAGCTAATCAAAATCCTTTTGCATGTATTTGTGACTGGATGGCTCCTGTGGGAAATCAGCCCAATTTTATTGTAACTCCTTTTGATACATGTGCTGCACTGAGCTACCAAATGCATCGTCTCATGGCAGCTTTCATGTCTTTGCAAGAGGATATGGCAGAAGCTTTAGTAAGAAGATGTTAACAGGCTAATCTTAGTGAGCAAACTAGGTGTCACTTCTTGGCCAGTTCATTAATGTTGGATCAAAGCAGGAAAAAGGGTAGAGGATTTTCTTTTTTTTTTTAAATGCCTGAAGACCTTTACAAACTGACAAAATTACATTTAAATGTTTTTTACTTCTTAGTACTGAAGGAAGAAGCCCTTAGACTCACATTGGGTTGTTTTGGTAGAAAGATGTCCCTTTATAAAAAAGCTAATTTATCTGGAAATAGCTGTCTACCTTTTGTGAATATTCTTTTGAAGACTTTACTCAGAAAAGCTGTAACAAGGTGAAAATTCCCCTTTCTTCTGCTGTGCTCTGAGTAACATCTGAACAGGCTGAGAGGCAGAAAAATCTCCCTTTTAAACAAATAGCTGTGCCTGGCTGCTAATGCATCACCCTGTGAGGTGTCCTGCTGGCTCAGGGCTGGGGACAGCACTGCTGCCGTGGGTGCCCTGCCGAGCAAACACATCCATCCCTCTGTCAGACCCCAGGGCAGTGTTAGTAAAGCCCTGCTGGGCATGAAATCAGCCCACCAGCACTACACTAGGTCACATTTAACCTAAAGTGAAACTGGGCTTTTCAGTATGGCAGCAGCAAACTTGCCTGCCTTACAGTATTGTTAAGAGCAGCTGTGGAGGTTTTTAAAGGTGTTTAATCCGAACGGCTCTATAGAGGTGGTTGGTACCATCAACACCAGGGATGGTTCCCCCCAGAATAGTTTCCCTTTCCTCTTCCTCAGGACCACTTTTGATCCTCTGCCTCCAACAGAAAGTGCAGGCACGTTGTAGGCAGCTCCTCTGATGTGCCAGGGCGTGTTACTGAACATCTTCCACTCCCATCACAGGCTCCTCAGTGATTCCCATCTCCAAGTCCAGTTCAGACCAGCCATCCTTTTTTCAGAATATTCCACAGGCTATCTCTGTCACCTCCTTTTCTTGCCTTCACTTACATTTAGGAGTCCTGTCTCTCTCATCTTTGTCTCCTGGAGGGATTTTTCACTTCTGCTACCACCTACCTGTTGTTTTTCCCCACTACCCACTGGTGCAATTACAATCTTTACAGTCCTTTCAGCTTTTGTTGTATTCTCTTGGTAAAAGTGTTTTGTGTAACCCTCATCATACCAGAATGGTGGATTGTGGCTGCTGCCAGTAAGAGTTTTGTAACAATGGGCTTTAGGTTGAGTTGGTACAACACACAGATCTTTACAAAAGAAGCTACCGGCTAAAACCAAATCTGTTGGAAAAGGCTCTGAGCCTATTCAGTAACAAAAATCCTTTGAAGAAAAATGACAGATTTTAAGAGGTTTGTTGTGGCACAGAGTTCCCAGTCCCACAGCAGGAGGGGCTGTGCCAGGTTAGTTCCCTCTTGCCTGTCTAAAGTCACCATCTTCTCTCTCTCTAGACTTGAAAGCGCCATGTGAGGCCCTTCCTTCCCCCAGCCTGGAGCCCTGTGCACAGAGCTCCATTGTGGTCACCCTCGAGGACAAGGGTCTCTGGATGAAGTTTCATCAGATTGGAACCGAGATGATCATCACCAAATCCGGCAGGTGAGAGGTGCAGGACAGCTGCCCATTCTACACCTCTTTTGAGCTCTTGTAAAAATCTCCACATGCTCATTTTTTTGAATGGTGGTCCTTAAACTAGTTTTGTTGCCAATTATGCACATCTCCCTGATCCTGGCAGGAGAACTGCACTTTCAGGATGTTGTAGAAGTCCAAGCTGTGAAGTGCAAAAGGTCATTTGTGGGGCTGATGTGCTGAGAAAACCTCTGTACCCTTATCTCACACTTAACACTGGTGTTCTTCCTGTCACCTCGAGGTTGCTCTGGAAAGTGCCCTGGGCTTCCTTTGCCTGGGTCACAGGCAGCAGCAGTTGAGCAGTAAATGCCTGGGCTTGAGTCTTTTGCAGACAAGAACATGGTGTAGACTCATAACGATCTGTGCGGGCAGAGTACTCTAATGTATAAATGAGTCATGTATTGTGGAGCTTGCAGGGAAAGAATATGGAATTGTGAAATTGTAATGTATTATGTCAAAGCTGCTGTGAGCCGAAATAATCCCTTTGGGTAGGGAGGTAGGTGTCAAAGCTTTTCTGCAGAGTCAGAAGTTAAAAGTAGTGGCAGGGAGTACGGGAACGGAAAGCCGGATGTGCTCTTAGATGAGAGCACGTTTTCTACCCACGCTCAGAAATGCTCTAATCCATCCTCCAAGTCTGTGAGAGCTGCAGCAGGCGAGGAACTACGTACAGACTCCAAGTAGTTCCTTTTAAGTTTCCCACTGTTGTGTTACAGGAATTGGAAGAACAGAGGCAGTGTCAGGCTGTCAGTGAGTGCTGCCCTGTTAGTGCCCATCCCACCTAAACCCACAGGACCAGGCAGTCCATCACTAAGATGGACAAGTGGTCAATAGCTGGATGGAGAAATACTGCTGCAAGGACTTTGCCAGTAGTTGGTAAACATGGCATGCTGCTTGATCATTAATATTCACTTTATAGAGAAATCTTTTTGTACTCTTATTTTTCATTTCTCCTTCAGACGAATGTTTCCACAATGCAAAATCAAAGTCTCTGGCTTAATCCCGTATGCCAAGTACCTCATGCTGGTAGATTTTGTGCCAATGGACAACTTCAGGTACAAGGTAAGTACTTTAAATAACAGAATTTATGCCATCCTTTCATCTTTGTTTGAAATAGATTAATCTTTATGCTTCACTGGCCATGGTGATAAATAAATTCTCTTTGGACAAAGTTCAGAAGTAATTGGTGGATTTTATGCCTCTCTGGAGTTATTTGTCAGTTTTGCTTGGGGAGCAGCTGGAGGGGTTACAAATTTCATTGTAAGCAGTACGGTTTTAATCATGATTAACACCAGAGTTCTCTGACAGCCATTGGGAGAAAGGGAGGAAAAATGAGGCCTAAACTTGGAGCTGATTTGGTCACACAATCATGGCTCATAAGAGAGAATCTGCTGCTTGTGCTCTGAAGGCAGGCACCGAATTGACAGTGAAGGAAAGTTGCTGGACTTTCCTGTACTGAAAGCAGGTTTTTTTTAAGCTCCTGATTTCTGTCTTTCCCTTCACAGTGGAATAAAGATCAGTGGGAAGTTGCTGGGAAAGCAGAGCCCCAGCTCCCTTGTCGCACGTACGTTCACCCAGATTCCCCAGCTCCTGGCAGCCACTGGATGAAAGAACCTGTCTCCTTCCAAAAACTGAAGCTCACCAACAACACTCTGGATCAACATGGACATGTAGGTCATGCTGTGCTCTTTTGGAATTCATCACAGATGAGCGTTGTGGGAAATAAGCGAGATTTTTGAGAAATTAGATCACGTGAAAATGAAAACATATCCAAGTGCCCTTTCTTCCTCCCTCAGCCCAGCCCTTGTGCCCTCCTAGGGAGGGCTTTAGTCTGTGTGTTGGCAGTGTTTGCCCATAGAAACCTTGTCCTTTGTCTGTCCCTGTGCCAGATCATCCTGCACTCCATGCACCGTTACAAGCCGCGCTTCCACATTGTGCAGGCAGACGACCTCTTCAGTGTCCGCTGGAGCATCTTCCAGGTCTTCAGCTTCCCTGAGACTGTCTTCACTTCTGTCACTGCCTACCAGAACGAGCAGGTACAGTGTGCAAGCACTGCTTTTGAACATGGTGCTAAATAATGTCTTCAAAACTATTGTAGAGGAAGTGTCTCCTTCCAGTCTGCTCACCCGGGCACCTGTGCTGGACAGTGGGAAGAAACAGGCACATTATGGGTCCTGTGGAAAGCATCCTCTCTGTGATGAGTCATGCACCTTAGTGGCATTGAGTGCACTGTCAGTGACACACAGGACTCCAAAAGCAGTAAAAAGTATGGGCAAAAGTCCAGATATAGATACTGACCCTGTATGTTTCTCTAGTCAGATGAATCCCACCCAAATCCCTGCTGACCCTGGCAAAGTCACTTCTCTGTGTGTGTCAGTTCCTGATCAATAATGGGACCTGCTGGGAGAGCTCAGATGCTGTGGCAAGGGCATGTCCAAAACCCCTAGAAAAGCTGTCAGGATAAATACTGAGGTGCAGGTCTTGAAACAGTGAAGAACCCAACCAGTCACCATGATACTGAATTTTGTTGCTTTTATTTTAAGATTACAAAGCTCAAGATTGACAACAATCCATTTGCTAAAGGTTTCCGTGAACATGGGAAGAACACTCGAAGGTAAACTGCTTTTTCATCTTAATTTATTTATAACTGGAGTTCACTTGTGAATCTTACCCAAGGCCTTTGAGCAAAACTCTACCAGCCAGCCCTGCTGCATTGTGCACACTGCATTTGCCTGTATCTGGGAATGATGTCCCCCTGTGCAGCCTCCTCCCAAGAGACTTGGGAAGTGGGAGGTGATAATTCCTACAGAAATGTAGGAGGTGTGAGAAATTTGAGACCTACATTCCCTTCCAAGCTGGAGCTAGACTGGAGTCTGACATGTGAATAGGAGTGATAACAGGAGTCCACAGCAGATCCTTTGGACTCTTGGAGATCAAGTTGATTCTGATATTTGGAGGCTCCCTTGTCTCCTTTTCCTGTGGGTGGAAAAGCATCTCTTCCAACAGGAGATTTTGTCTGCAAGATGGATACCAATACCAGTGAGATGATCTGCCTGGTCTTAAGGCAGCCAGTGGATGAGATGAAAAAAAGCTTAAGTTGCAACCATAGACTGGAAATAGAGAAGGAAAAAATGGTTTTTTTCCAAGCAGAAAATGTTACAAAAACATCTGAGAATTTGTTTTGTGTTATTTTATGCCTGAAAAAAATCTCATTTCCTGATGAAAAAGGGCCAAAACTGACTGTATTTTACTTAAACTTTAGAAATGTCATGGATTTTCTTTCTCCTCCTAGTGGCATCATTTCTGACTAAGCTTAAACTCATTTTCCATCTAGGAAAGAGCTGCTTTCAAGCGACAGGCCCACCCTGCTACACACATACCTGCGTGCATACTGTGTATCCAACATCAGGCTACACTTACAAAGTCAGTGCCGAAATCTCTGGTGCTGAGTTTCCAAGCTGATCTTGCCTTTTGTACAGACATGAAGCAGGAGCCCCTTTCCTGATTTATCCCTGGTATCACAGGCAAGGGCTTTCCCTGGAAGCACACAGCAATGGCAGGCACATGGCTAACCCTGGAATTTGGCCCCTGAGGAGCTAGTAGGAGAGGTGTATGGCACAGGATGTTAGAGATTCCTCCCATCTTTTTGTCTTCCAGAGCTTGTCCAGCATCCCCACCTGTTTCTCTAGGCAAAAAGCTTACATCCAAGCTTACCCCCCTGTCTTGTTTCTTTCCAGGGAAGGACGAGCCAAATGCCAGAAGCCCAGTCCAGCCAAGAGTCAGAAGAGGAAGCTGCCTGAGGAAAAGGAGCATGATGCCGAGGAACGTGGTAATATTGGTCACAACAAACCCAGAGAATGCTATTCCAAAAGTTCTTTAAGCTTGATCATTCCTTGTTCCAGCTCACGGTGCTGCTTGCAGTAGCACAGCTAAGAACAGAGGACAGGGTAGGACTGACCCACCAATATCTGAGCTGGAAAGGGCTATTCCCTTAGGACAGAAGGTCTGCAGGAGAGGTTTTAGTGCATTTCCTTCCACCATCCTGTGATTAACACAACTGCCAATAGACCATTGTGAACTTTGTCTCTCTCTTCCCCCTTCTCATTCTTTTCCACTCTCTCTTTTCCCTGCTGTGAGTCAGATTTTGAGAAGGATGAGAATGTAGATGTGAAGGAAGAGAGTAACCCCGTGGTGGTCAGCAGTGGATATCCCTTCTGGGGCTCGGAGCAGAATGGCAGCCAGGCCTTCCCTGCGGCATCGCCGGTGCCTGCGGAGCAGAGGGAGGGTCTGGCCAGGGAGCAGCAAGTGCCAACACCGTCCTACCAGACATATCGGTGAGTCCTACCTTCTGGTCCAAAGCCACCCTTTAGCTGACGGGATTCCTCTTCTTCTGCTGGGTATTTCCTAAGAAAAACAGCCACCTGGGAGTAGGGAAGGATGCCTTTCTGTTGGACAGTATACGTGGCTGAGAGATGTTAGATTAGCACAGATGTAGCTTCATGGATAACGTTTCTGTGCTGCTTCAAACCCACTGATTCTGGGCATATTCATGTCTTAGTAATGCTCTTAATTTCCCTGTCCCAAAATGCTCTCCCAGCCAGCTTTGTGTACTGCAGAGCTTGCAAGTCCTTTGGAGGAAGATTGTTGGTGGAGTGGCAGGACTCCAGTGATTTTTCCCTTCTTACAGCAAAATTGGGCGTGAGTGAGCCCAGACCTGAGCCAGAACTAAGGTAGTCTGGACTTACCTTCTCTGGCATTTTGTTTTTCTTTGGGAGTGAAAGTGAGGCCTGTACAAAAATCCACAGTTAACAGTATGATAAGGAGCAGGCAAGGGAGGGAGGGCATACTGAGAGCTTGCCCTGCCCTTCCCCTCCCCAGGGGCTCTGTGTGGGTTTTCTGTGGTTTTCTGCTGCGGTAGGTTTGACTCGCTGTTCTCTCTGCCCCGTGGCTCAGGTTCCACGAAGCCGGGGACAGCCAGCACCTTCCCGCCCGCGATGCCACGGCCTTGAACGATTTCCGGGCAAGGTGCCACGCCTTGGATCTCGCCACGGTGCCCGAGCACGACTCCAAACAGCTCCCAGAGGGCTTCACCAACCTGCCTCCGCTCCCCCCGCCTCTGCCTCCTCCCCAGGACTACACGGGAGTGGTGAACATGGCTCTAGACTCTGTGGGGAAACCCGGGGCCCGAGCGCCCGTGTACAGTCCCTATGGCACCGAGCAGGGCCTGGGGCAGTGGGTGGTGCCTCCCCACAGCCAGTACAGGGCAATGAGCTACTCGGCCTTCTCCACGGAGTACAACACACAGGGCGCTCCGGGACATGCCCACGGGACCATGGCGGAGTGGAGCCAGTACCCTCTGTTCCCCTACGCCTGCTGGTGAACGGGGAGGACCCTTCCCAGTGAAAAAACTGAGGGAAAACTGTAAATGAGATCAGATTTGCTCTGGGGTGTTGGACTTCTGGAGCCTCGCCTGCACTAGGCAGAGGTATTGCTGCAAGTGGTAGAATGGGACACCTTCACTTCTTTGTCTCCTTGCACAACAACCTTCACCGTGTTTCACAAACAGTGGCTAAACTGGTGGCTGCCCCAGCTGTGTTACTGTGGATCAGGCAGAATAAATGTCCTGCAGTGTCTTTTTTCCCAGCAGGAGTAGGAAACCACAGGATCTCCCAAGGGCAGTAGTTAAAGAGCTGCTGAACTTACAGTCACAGGCTGTTTGCACCTCGTATTTGGCAGTTTCCAAAATCCCTTCCTCCCGGGACTTGAGGCAAGGAGATAGGGGCTAAGGAGTTTCAGTAAGCTATCCAGGTGGCACAAAAGCTGTAGACAATATTGCAAAGACAAGTGAAACAAAAGCAATCCTGCTGACCTTTGAGCAGGTTCCTCAGTTAGTATAGTCAAACTAAAGCTAGTCTTGCCTTTCTTCCAGCAGCAGAAGAGAGTAAAATGTACAGCAAGGAGTGTCTGGAGCATAGCAGTGGGTCATGCAGGCAGGGAAGAGTTTGTTCCATGCAGGAGAAGCAGCAGGAAGGCTGTGTGTTGTGTCTGCATGTCCCTGTGCCCATCCCTCCTCTGTCAGCCCTAGATTCAAGGTCAGTGAAATGCTCTTCTTTCTGCAAAGGTGGAGGGAGGTTGTTCCTGGAATGTGCGGAGCTGCTCTGGGAGTTTCCAAGGTTGTCAGAAGCAGTGCTGTTGTTTAACTCCAACATCTTTCTTTAGAGTGAAAGGAAATCTTCTGCAGTGAACTTCTTCCTTCTCCCACACCCTGCCACCCCTGGAGAATATAATTTATAGTTGTGGTTCCTGTGCTACACTCTGAGTGTGTGAAGTCATCTCACCACTGTTTGGGAATTAAGAGGGATCAGCTTCCATGTTTAGTTACCAAAGTGGTTCCACCTCCCTCCTCTCTGGTCCCAGCCTGGGCAGGAGCCAGCATGTGCCATACAAGGAGGGTTTCCTTTCATCTTCCTGTTAGAAGGGGGAAGCCTCCCTGTTTGCCTAAGTGGCAAATGGCCCTGGCAATGGGGTCTTCAGTGAGACAGGCTTTTTGCTTCTCAGGGAGGGTAGACATGTTTCTCCCAGGCAACCAGCAATAGGACAAGGGGACATGGGCTCAAACTCTGTCAGGGGAGGTTTAGGTTAGATGTTAGGAAGAAATTCTTTACAGAGAGGGTTATCAGGCATTGGAACGGCCTACCCAGAGAGGTGGTGGATTCACCATCCCTGGAGGTTTTTAAAAAGAGATTGGACGTGGCCCTTAGTGCCATGATATAGTAATTGGAGTTGGATCAGGGGTTGGACTTGATGATCTTGGAGGTCTTTTCCAACCCAACCTATTCTATGATTCTATGTTGTTTAGGGAATGTTTTCTTGTCACACTAATGGCTGCTCTGTGGCCTGTAGCCATCAGTAGGCAGAGAGGTGTATCATTTAGCCTGTGTGCCAGATTGTTTTCTCTGTGTGTAGCAAGATGTTGTCTGTGAACAGACCTGGGCAGGTTTGTGCCCAGTGCATCAGGATTGGTGTGCAGGTACACCGGGAAAGGCTGTGTGCTGATCTGTTTGGATACCAGGTCAGCACTGTGCATCTGCATAGCATAGGGATGTTTGTTATTGTTAAAATTACTTTGAAAAGTAGCCCTATAAATTTGTGGACTCAGTTAAAATGACTACTTCCTTATTTAAATTGTATATTGGTAACTGTGTTTGTACCACAAACTGTGTTATGATACATGCAGAGCAGTCAAGTACTTCCCCTGGGCTTCCCAGGCTTTGAGGATGTGCAGCATTGAAATAAAGGTCAGACTTCACCACAGTACATGAACATAATGCCCTGTGAGCCTCCCCTCTGATGGCACCCTGGCCAGTAGTGATTTGTACTTGCTGTGCATGACACACAAGTGGACGTGAGCGACTCACTAAACAGAAATCTGGTTGGAGAAGAAACTGTGGAGGAGGTTGTTTTTAACCCAGAATATTGTGATTTCCCGCTGTCCAAATGCCAGCTGCGTGAAGGCAGGTCAGCTGTAAAAGGCTGACCTCTGTGGATGAGAGAAATAGTCTGTCTCTGACCATTAGTAGCTGATTTTGCCAGCAGTGTTTGTCACATCTTGGAAATGTGATGAGCAGAATGGCTGGGGAGTCGAGTGGGTGCCTTGAGCCCCATGTGCAGGGACCCTGCGGGTACTTTGTGCATGACAGACCTCCTGGCACCCGCCGGGATCAGTGCCAGTGCCATGCCAAGAAAAGAGAAAGAATACATCCCCCCATGGGCTACCTGGTTAGATCTGTCCCTTTATCTTTGTAGCTGGGATGTGTTTCCCTGTCACAGGGTGCTAATGAGGATGAAAAACACGCTGTGGTGAGTGTAAGTAACTGAGGAGAACTGGGCAGCACTGGGAAACTCCTGTGCAAATACAAGTGCACTGTTCTTCCTTTCAAACCTTCAGAGTAGCATTGCAGGTGCTGCTGCCCCATGGGCCTGTCGGTAGAGCTGGTGTTTGGCACAGCTCCACACTGGGGTAAAAGACTCAGCCTTGTGCCTAGGACGAGCCATTAATTACTCATCAGCCTTCTGTTGCAACAGGACCACTTGCCCTTCTTCAGTGAATCATCCAGCCTATTGGAAAAGTACCTTTACTTTCTCACTCTCCTGTCTCTGGTGAGAGACTGTGGCTCTGGCTGGTTTGTGAAGCCTTTGGAGATTTTGCCTGTAGGTGTGTGCTCTGGACTCTGCTCCCACCTCCTCCCTCTGCAGTTCCCACTGTCTTGTTCTCTTCAGCTGTGGCATTTAAAAGTCTGTGTGAGCTCGACTGAAATGCTGTTTTTGCACGCATGTGACATAATGTAATGCCTCTGACAGCTTCAATAAAGGGAAATGAGACATGTGGAAGGCAGGCCATTAAGAGTAATAAAATAAACTCAGAAGTGCGGGTTTGTGCATCTTTCTCAAGCACACCAGTGGCTCTGCTTTAGTCATGTTACCTGGGGCCAGTTTGTACATGCATGACACATGCTGTTGATCTCGGGGTTCGTTGTTCTCTGCAGCGTGTTCAGTGAGCCTCAGGTTATCCGCTCGCACTGCTAGATGTGACTCAGGCTCTTGCACCAATTCTTTGCAGCAAATTGTTTATTTTCTCTGTATTTTCTGCTCCTCTCCCACAGAGGAATTACATAAGGATGAGGGCAAATGGACTATAAATGGGATCTAGGTAAATTTCCTATGGGAAATAAAGATCTTAATTTATTTTGGTTTCTCCTACTGGTTTTTGCAGCCTTAAGCCTTGCCTGACACTGCTTCGATGCAGATGGGAATGGCAGAAAAATGCCTTCTTGCCAACACTGCAGTTCTTCCACAGGCAGGTGCAGGCTTGGGAGAGGCACCTGTTTCCCCTGCAGCTCAGCAGTGCCCCACACCTCTCTAGAGATATGGAGAGTCTTCCCAGGGGTGCAGGGTCCCCTCTCAGCTGGCCCAGGATGTGGCCTCTGCTTGTACCCTCTCTGGCTCTGCAGAAGCAGCTACCAGCTGGTTTCACTAAGAGCTTATCTCGTTTCCAGGCGCTTCGGGGACAGAGATGTGCTCAGCCCATGCAAACCGAACTGTCTGGTGCCCTCAGATGAGCCTCCTGGCCCGGCCACGCCTGGGGCAGTGCTGCTCTCCGGCACCTTCCATGGCACCCGGTGTCCTCCCACGTGTGGTGCGGGTCTGCCTGTCACCGCAGGGCTCAGTAGGGGCCCAGGGAGGCTCCTTGCCCACGAACAGGCATGAGGAGATCCCGCAGAGCAGTGTTTCCATGCCGAGATGGGCTGGGGCTCTTGAATTGCCTTGTGCTGGACAGCCAGGCTGAGCCGGACTCCTCACTTGCTTCGGTGTGGGGTGTCTGTCATTTGGTGCTCCGTGAGCCTCCCCACAGGGCTCCTGTGTGTGTTTCCTTGGTCAGGGCGTGTACTGGATCACTTTAAGCAAATCCAAGCAAGAGGCGCAAACCCCCTTCCAGGAATAACAACATTCTTCACGTCAAATGGGTTTTTATTGCAGAGCTTAAAAGCCACTTAATTCCCGAGCCCCGGGTCGGGATCCATGGGGAGCCTCGTCGCAGGGGGGATGCAGCATTTGGCTGGCAGCAGCAAACAGCAGCCGTCACCCGCCGTGCGGGGCCGGCACAGCCACATCCCCCCTGCCCGGAGCTGCCGGCGGTGCCCGCCCCTCCTGCGCTCATCAGCGGCCAAATGTGCCGTGCAGGTGTCTCCACTTACCTGCTCACCCGCCCGCAGCCTCCAGTTACTCAGTGAACGGCCAAGAGCAAAGAGGGAGGGGTAAAACTGTGCAGGGCCAGCTGGGGAAGGGAGGACAAAGGGTTTTCCCGGGAGCACGGGGAGGGCTGGTGTGCCCTGTCCCCCTCAGCTGCCCTGGACGCTGCTGGCTGGGCTCCAGCCGTGCTCAGAGGCGCGGCCTTGCTGCGTTTTTGCCGTGGCTGTAGGGGAGCCTGTCCCTGCCTGTCTCCAGGGCTCGGCTGTCCCCTCCCAGGGCCATGGGAAGCAGCCGCTGGCCTGGCTCCCGGCCGCCCCAGGTGAGCTGCTTTCTCTGTCGTGCCTTGCAGAGCTGTAGTGAGGTTTAAATGTGGCTTCTGATCATTACAGCAAATCTGAGCAGGAGGAACCCCGGGAGAGGTAACGCAGCTCACAGGACGCAGGGAAGGAAGTCGGGAAGGTGTTTCTCCCCCGCAGCACTTCCCAGAGCAAACACTGAAGCGTTCTTGAGACCTGGGCCTGAGCGGTGGTGTCAGACGGAATTTTAAACAGGGATGAAGCAATCCTTCAGCGCAGGGGTGAGAAGAGGTGCTGCAGCTGTGCTGAGCAGTGTTGCTGCCCAGCTTAGTTTAGTGTTATTCCTTTTTTGTTTTTCCAAGTCGTGTGAGTTTGTTTTATGGCCTGAAGTAGTTTGCTGTGAGGTGCTGGATTGCCTCTGACACTTCTCTAATGCTCCATTTTTTTTCTTTGAACGTGCAGGTGTACAACTACAGTGTTCCTGCCCAGACAGCACCCTGCTTGGTGAGTGTAATGGATGGATTTAATTTCCATCTCTTACTGTTCTTTGGGGACATGCTGAGATTTTTATTTCTTCCTCTTCTATTTTTACTGAAGAGGGTAAATTATGTGCCCCCATAAAGGAGAGTGGGAGTGGGCAGCCAGCAATACAGGACAGGCACTCCATCAGTCACACAGCCAGGCATAAAGCACTGCTCACTTTTGGTATCTCTGCCTCTCTTTGTACAAATAAGACTGTACATGTAAAACAGCAGCTGTTCACAGAGAGACTTCCTGCGTGCTGGCTCTGGCACTCCAGCTCCCATCTGTGGGGTCACAAAGCACCAGCACCTGGGATCTCTGTAACATCCTTGCTGGGAGTTGGTGCATTAAGGGTAGATCTGCGTGGAAGTGCTGGTGAGAGTAGACAGGGATGAGTCAGGCCTGATTCCTGTCACACAGCGGGGTCTGTCCCCATGCTGGCTCTGTTCGTGCTGAGCAGCCAATCCTCTGCTCGCCCACAATCTGGTTTGGGTGCTGCTTTTCCATCTAGGAAGGACTCCGTGGAGACAGAGCTCTCCGGAGCAGCTCAGGCACCGCCCAGCAGCAGTCGGCTGAAGGGGGAAATGGGAATTGCTGTGGTAAGTTTAAGTCAGCCCTCGTGCATCCCTGGGGGTACCCCTCGTTATTGTTCTCCCGGGATAAAAGCAGTGAACCATCGAGCAGTGGAGGGGATGTGATCAAAACCGCTCTGTTTGCCAAAGGGATGTGCTGAGCATTGCACTGACATGGGCTGAATGACACTAATGCACTCCCTGTAGAGCCCCTGGGGGCACAAGGGCATTTTGAAAACCATGGATGAGAAAGTGAGGCCAGAACCGCGTGGTTTTCTGCTCAGCAGGCTGGGCTGGCGGTCCTCGTGGAGCCATTGGAGTCATGCTGCATGTTTCTCATCCTGCCCGTATGGCTGTTAATGGCCCTGTCCTGCCTCCATCCTCAGGGACTAATTGCCTCACACTTGAGCAAATGTGCTTGGTGTTTGAAAGGAGTCTATCGATTTGTGCGTATTCCTGAAAGGCTCGGAGGGCCCTGTTCCCTTTGAAGTGTAAAAGCATCTGTC